GCCTTTATCTTCTTTGTCTTTAGGCAAATAATCTCCCGAAAGCCATCGCAGCTGCTCATACCTTCCTGCTGAAGCATCCTGATGATGAGATGATGAAGAGAAACATGGCGTATTACAAGAGCTTGCCTGGTGCTGAGGACTACATTAAAGACTTGGAAACGAAGTCATACGAGGTACATTCAGATGTTTACATAGCAGTCAGTTGCAGTATGACTTGTCATGAAGTGTGTCTCCATAAATAGCTATTGACATCAAAGGATCTCTAATGATTTTTGGTAACATTTGATGAATAGTAGGACAATAGAAATGACTGACTTTTTAGCACAAAGTCGATCTATTTAAAAGTGAGATTTTAGGGCAGCGCCTGTGGCTCAAAGGAGTAGGGTGCTGGCCCCATATACCAGAGGTGGTGGGTTCAAACCCAGCCCTGGCCAAGAACTGCAAAAAAAAAAAAAATAATAAATAAATAAATAAATAAAATTTAAAAAATGAGATTTTATATTCCAGGATGATTTTAAAAGCCACCTTTCCTTTAGATGCTGCATTTGAGAAACATGGTCATTTAGGGGTGGGATTTTGGTAAGTTCCCACCTAAGGGGTATAATTTAGGGGTTCATGGCACACCTCCTGGGTGAAGGACTCAGCTGCAACTCAGACTTTACCTTACTAATGCAAATAATGTAACCTAATTGTATGTGCCCTCATATTAATAAAAAATACTGTATAACAAAAAGAAAGAAATGTGATCATTGGTCATCTAATAATGACCAGGAACAAAAGAAATAGAAACATAAATCTTCATTTTTGATGAAACTATAAACATACAATATACATATTCCAGTGGAAAGTAAAGAAGCATTAGGGAAGCTGAGGTGGCAGATACAGATACTTACCTATGCATCTGTAAAGAGGAGTTCTGAGGGTGCTTAACTACAGCCACAGTAAACAAAAGATCTATTCCTTTTGGACACTCACTATTGTCGGGCTGTGTGGAGCTCAGGCCCTGGGAGCCTGGGTGCCAAGGAAGGGTAGGGCAGGGTTGAAAACAGAGGATGTATTGAAAGTCGCGTGAGGAGCTGTGGATCTGAAGGCCTGACCCCGGGCTTTTCTGTAGTGTGATCTCAGTGCAAGCTCACTGGTGGGAAAATGCAGTGTCCAGAAGTCTCTTTTCTGAGGGACCCTAAGTTTACCGGGGACGATTTCTCCAGCCTTCTGCAGGGTTGGTGGGGTGCTCACGCTTGTCTGCTAATGT